CCCCCACCACCTGCTTTGAACTCCCCGCCTGACCTTGAACCCCTCCACCTGACCTTGAACCCCTGCACCTGACCTGGAACCCCTGCACCTGACCTTGAACCCCTGCACCTGACCTGGAACCCCTGCTGCTTGCAGATCATCAACACGTACACGGAGGCCGTGCAGACAGTGGACCCCTTCAAGGCCACGGGCAAGCCCCACACGCTGTGGGTTGCATTTGCCAAGTTCTATGAGGACAACGGGCAGCTGGACGATGTAAGTGACATGCTGTGAGAGAGAGAGAGAAATGGGTCAGACTGGTGCATACACTTTTCCTGGGGCGGGCAGCCGGGCAGGCAGTGTCTGAGCTTGGTCTCCTCCCGCCACCCCGATGCCCAGGCCCGTGTCATCCTGGAGAAGGCCACCAAGGTGAACTTCAAGCAGGTGGACGACCTGGCGAGCGTGTGGTGCCAGTGTGGGGAGCTGGAGCTGCGGCACGAAAACTACGACGAGGCACTACGGCTGCTGCGGGTGAGGGTGCGGGGTTGGAGGGGGCTGCAGGTGCACGGCCCGGCCGAATCTGCCTCCTCTGTCCCCACGGCCCAGCCGGGTCTGCTGAGCGCTGTCCCCCCGTGCAGACTCTGTCCCCATGGCCCGTCGGGTCTGCTGAGCGCTGTGTCCCCGTGCAGACTCTGTCCCCCCGTGCAGACTCTGTCCCCACGGCCCATCAGGTCTGCTAAACGCTGTACCCCCGTGCAGACTCTGTCCCCACGGCCCAGCCGGGTCTGCTGAGCGCTGTCCCCCTGTGCTGCCTCCTCTGTCCCCACGGCCCAGCCAGGTCTGCTGAGCACTGTCCCCCCGTGCTGCCTCCTCTGTCCCCACGGCCCAGCCGGGTCTGCTGAGCGCTGTCCCCCCGTGCAGCCTCTGTCCCCACGGCCCAGCCGGGTCTGCTGAGCGCTGTCCCTACCACACGCAGAAGGCGACGGCGCTGCCAGCCCGCCGGGCCGAGTACTTCGACGGCTCGGAGCCCGTGCAGAACCGCGTGTACAAGTCCCTGAAGGTGTGGTCGATGCTCGCCGACCTGGAGGAGAGCCTTGGCACTTTCCAGGTGAGCCCTCAGGGGTGGCCGGGGATGGGGGCTGGATTCCCCCTGCCCCCCCGCGCCCCCCAGGGCACGCTCTGACCCGTCGCTCTGTGTCCCCACGCCCCCCGGGGCACGCTCTGACCCGTCGCTCTGTGCCCCCACGCCGCCCGGGGCACGCTCTGACCCGTCGCTCTGTGTCCCCACGCCGCCCGGGGCACACTCTGACCCGTCACTGTGCCCCCATGCTGCCCGGGGCACGCTCTGACCCGTCGCTCTGTGTCCCCACGCCGCCCGGGGCACGCTCTGACCCGTCGCTCTGTGTCCCCACGCCGCCTAGTCCACCAAGGCCGTGTACGACCGCATCCTTGACCTACGCATCGCCACGCCCCAGATTGTCATCAACTACGCCATGTTCCTGGAGGAACACAAGTACTTTGAGGAGAGTTTCAAGGTGAGGCCGGGAGGGGGGGTATCCCGACATTGGGCTCGGCAGCAGCCGTTCAGTACCCCGTGGTCACGAAGTCGCAAGGTGTCAGCAGCGGGATCCTCCCGTGGCTGTGTGTTTGCATGTGTGCGTCATGGTGGTAGAAACCCGTCCCAGGGACCTTGTCTTCCCCAAGCGGCCTCCTCAAAGACTCCAGCCCTGGGTGAACACTGCGTCCTGTGTGTGCAGCTGGCAAGAAGGAGGGGGTCCCTAACCTGCTGTGCTGTGGGGGGCCTGCGCCTAGAGCAGAGTGGTTGTATGTGTGGGGGCGTCTGGACTCGGCCATGGGGGTGGTCGTTTGTGCACCCACGTGTAGCTGCTGCCCCATGTCTGGGGTGCATGTGGATCTTCGGGAGGGCTGGGGCTGCCCACGCCCACCTGTCTCTGTAATGTTGCCCGCTGGGAGCTGGACGCTGGGCTCGGCGAGTCCTTGCAGTGCGAGGCAGGGCTTGTTGCGGATGCCAAGTTGCGGGGGAGGGGGCATGGGGCCTGTCTCCCCACTTTCTGAGCGGCTTTCCGCTCCCCCCCCCCCCCGACACTCACTCACACCCACCCGCCCCCCTCTCCTCGGGACAGGCCTATGAACGCGGCATCTCGCTCTTCAAGTGGCCCAACGTGGCCGACATCTGGAGCACCTACCTGACCAAGTTCATCGCCCGCTACGGGGGCCGCAAGCTGGAGCGGGCCCGGGACCTCTTCGAACAGGCGCTGGACGGCTGCCCGCCCAAACATGCCAAGAGTGAGGAAGGAGGGTGGGCACGGGGCTGGGGTGGTGGGCACGGGGCTGGGGTGGTGGGCACGGGGCTGGGGTGGCGGGGTGGGTGGGGCTGGGGTGGCGGGGTGGTGGGCATGGGGCTGGGGCTGGGGTGGGGGCACAGGCGTCTGACCCGCCCGCCCCTCCACCACCCTTGCCACAGCCCTGTACCTGCTGTATGCGCAGCTGGAGGAGGAGTGGGGCCTGGCCCGGCACGCCATGGCTGTGTACGAGCGTGCCACGCGCGCCGTGGAGCCCGCACAGCAGTATGACATGTTCAACATCTACATCAAGCGGGCGGCCGAGATCTACGGCGTCACGCACACGCGTAGCATCTACCAGAAAGCCATCGAGGTGCCCGCGCCCAGGGCCCACCCCGTGGGGGCGCGGGGGGCACACCCCCCCCTCTCCTCCCATGCGCACGCTCACACGCCCTGCCCGGCCCAGGTGCTGTCGGACGAGCACGCCCGGGAGATGTGCCTGCGGTTCGCGGACATGGAGTGCAAGCTTGGGGAGATTGACCGAGCCCGTGCCATCTACAGCTTCTGCTCCCAGATCTGTGACCCGCGGGTAGGGGGCGGGGCCTGGGTGTGGGGGGGACAGGGGAGCAGGGGAGCCTAGGAGGGGTGGCCAGGGGGGCGAGGTCCGGGTGTCCACCGATGCCCAGGCCGTCTGTAGCCACCGATGTGTGACCCACGGTTAGGAGACAGGGACAGGGGGATGGGGTCCCGGGGTGTCCCCGAGTCGCCAGCGACCACCACCACCCCCATCACACCCAGCCTGGCCTCGCTCTGCTATCCCCTGCAGACCACCAGCGCCTTCTGGCAGACGTGGAAGGAGTTCGAGGTGCGCCACGGCAACGAGGACACCATCCGGGAAATGCTCCGGATCCGGCGCAGCGTGCAGGCCACGTACAACACGCAGGTCAACTTCATGGCCTCGCAGATGCTCAAGGTGTCGGGCAGCGCCACAGGCACCGGTGAGCGGCCCGCCCCTCGCCGGGCGGAAGCCCTTGGGCGGGCCGGTGGGGCCAGAGCAGCCAGCAGAGGGCCCTGCACAGGGGCTGGGTGCACTGACCGCCCTGCCGGCTCCCCGCAGTGTCCGACCTGGCCCCGGGGCAGAGCGGTATGGATGACATGAAATTGTTGGAACAGCGGGCCGAGCAGCTGGCGGCCGAGGCCGAGCGGGACCAGCCCCCGCGAGCCCAGAGCAAAATCCTGTTTGTGAGGTGAGGGGGGGTGGGTACCGTGTACGGCCTGGAAGGGGGAGCGGAGACAGGCTGGGAGGGAGCCCCGCTGAGGCCCTACCACCACCACCACCACCACCACCACCACCACCACCCGTGCCCACAGGAGCAACGCCTCCCGTGATGAGCTGGCCGAGCTGGCCCAGCAGGCCAACCCCGAGGAGATCCAGCTAGGCGAGGATGAAGATGAAGAGGAGATGGACCTGGAACCCAATGGTGAGGGCCAGGTGGGCCCCGCAGGGCAGGCGAGGCTGGATGTGGGGGGGGGGCCCCCCCCGGCAACAGAATCACCCCCCCTGTACTTCTCCCCCTTCTCCCCCAGAGGTGCGGCTGGAACAGCAAAGCGTCCCAGCGGCCGTGTTTGGGAGCCTGAAGGAGGACTGACCCCACCACTCCACCCCACCCCACCCCACCCCACCCCACCCCGTGGTGTCCCCAATACAGTTTCTTTTGTACAGCACTGGCTCCGCCTCCCTCCTTCCTGCCACGCAGGTGCCGCCCAAGGTCTGCCAGCTCAGAGCACCCTGGCCCCAGGCCCGGATTGGCTCCACCGGTAGGTGGGGCCACCCAGCAGGGCCAGGGAGCCACACCCTGACAGGCACCCTGCAGAGCCAGTTCAGCCTGAGGCCTCCGGTCAGGCCAGCTGACCTGCTGCTCCAGGCTCCAAGGGCCAGCCTCCCCCCACCTCACTGTACCCGCAGGCCCCGGCCAGACTGCCCCGTGACCCACTCTCAGCTCTGTTCCCCCCGGGCTGGGGCCAGGGCGTGGCCTTGTCCCCTAAGCTCCAGGAGGCCATTAGTAGGCTCTGGATGATTAAGTCCCTTGATGCCTTAAACCCCTTAATCAGATCTGCGCTTCCAGCAGGTCTGCCTGCCTGCTGGCCAGGGAGCCGAGCTGAGCTGCTGGCAGTGAGCCTGCAGGGGGGGCGGGGGAGTCTGGCCCCACCTGGCTCTGGTTGCTCTGTGGACCCTGCACCCCACATGCCTGGTTGACCCTGCCAGGCAGGCTCCTGGATTCCCAGGAAGGGCAGTAACTGAACTCAGAAGCGGGGCTGATGGGTCGGGGAGATGACCTCGGCTACAAGTTGGCCCTGGGCCCAAAAGGCAGGCAGGCAGGCAGGCAGGCAGGGCTTCCAGCAGGAGGAAAGATTAAGCCGGGGTGGGGTAGGCCGGAAAGGCCAGGCAGGGCACGCAGCAGAGACGGGAAGGCACAGCTTCTCGTTAAATTATTTTATTCAAGAAATGGGGAGTGTGTGTTTGTCTGCAGTTGCAGGAAGGACAGACACAAGGGCCGAGCTGAGCCCTGAACTCCCAGCTCAGCCCCGACAGCAGGACCAGACTCCAAGTGGGGCAGGGGTGGGGCTCCAGCCCTCACCACCCCCCTGCCCCTGTCAGACAAGGTTGGGGGACAGAAGACACGACCCGGAGTGTGCCAGTGTGCCAGGAGGCCGCAATTACTTGGGCGTGCCACCGCCACTGCCCTTCTTCGGGGTGGTGGGCTTCTTGGTCTGCCAGAGGTGTCCCTGGATGGTAAAGGCGTCCACGCTCATGGACATGGTCTTGGCGGGGATCTGGGTGAAGCGTTTGCGATCCGAGTTGTATTTGTAGATGCCCTCCACCATGGCGGGGGTGACGGTACGCGGGCCGTAGCCCGCCAGACGCGACAGCTCCTCCGTCTCCCCGGACAGCGTGTAGAGCGCCCGGAACTGGCAGCTCGAGTCGCGGAAGAGGATGAGGAAGTGGTTGGCTTTGCTCTTCTCGATTTCCTGGACAGGAGCAGGCAGAGAGGAGGTCGGGGGGGGACAGTCGGTGGTGGTGGTGGTGGTGGTGGTGGTGGCGGCGGGGGGAGGCGGCCCACCAATCCCCTCCATGCCACCTGCAGCCCCACGCATGCGCGCACTCACTTCCAAAATGCGGTTCTTCTGCGGCTCGTTCACTTTGCCCGCCAGGCAGCAGTGCGACAGGGCGTTGTGGATGATAAACTTGTTGGACTTGGCGCTGGGCTCCTTGTAAAGCCGGGGACCTGGCAAGGCAGGGCAGTCGGTGAGGTCGAGGGGGTTGATGCCAGGTGGTTGGTGGTAGGGGACCCCACCCCGGGGGAGGGCGGCGCAGCACCCCCAGCCAGACCCCCTACCTGTGTACTCCGGCACGGACGCCGGCGAGGATGCGTTGCTGCCATTTTCCCAGTCCCGGCTGCCCGGCAGACGGCTGGGGGACATGAGGCCAGACGGCGACGGGGCCCTGCTTGGGGAGGTGAGGGAATATGGGGAGGGGAGAGGTTGGTGGGCTGGGAAAGCTTCCGGCAGGGCGAGGGACCTAGGTCCCCCCAACCCTAATGCCCCAGGCGTGCCAATGCCCTGAGGTCCCGTGCGATGCTTCTGGGAAATGCACAGATGCTGTGGTTTAAAACCACCAGGTGGATTTCACTTTTTTGCCACTTTTTTGGGATGGCTTTCCCACCCCCCCTTTTTGCTGTTTCTTTTCCCGTAACGGAGCCTGGGGCTCTGGGAAATTGACCCAAGGTCTCTGCCCAACTTGGCTCCCAGCTACTCGAGCCATCACGGGCTGCCTTTCCACGCGGGAGCTGGGCACCGAGCCGAGACACTGTCAGGCAGGGGTGACCCAAGGAGAGCCGTGTCCTCACCCCCTGGGCTAACCCCAACCCCCACATGTGCCCAGGCACAGCTCACCGGGACGTGGGCCTCTTCACACCAAGGTTATTGGAGGCCTCGTTGGCCACGGTGGACAGGGACAGCGTGGACTGCGAGTAGACCTTGCTGAGCCGCGAGCCTGCTCACACAGAACCAGGTCAGCACCCCTGGACACCCCACGTGGCTGCCAGTGGCCAGAGGGGTCCCAGCAGAGCATACACGCGTACACACACAGACACACAGACACACACACACACACACACACACACACATCCTTCTGGCCCCCCCTCCCCCTGTGCCCCATCAGTCCTCACCCAGCAGGCCGCGGGCTGGGCTTCTGGCCAGAGCCGAGTCGTCACAGCAACCAGAGCGTGGCCGGGGCGCCCTGCGCCCTCCCCGGCCTGGTCCCCCGCTCCCCGCGGCGGCCCGGGGACGCAGCACCTTGTCAAGATCATCCATCAGCTTCAGCTGGGCCCGGCGCTCGTACTCGAGACGCGTGAAGTCCCCACGCCGGGGGCCCACCTCCTCCTCGGCCGGGGCCCGGGTCCCTGCAGCAGCCACTGCGGGGCCCGGGGCCGCTGCAGGAGCAGCAACAGCAGCAGCAGCTGTGGGAGCTGCAGGGGCTGGGTTGGCTGCTTCCTCCTGGGCCAGCCTGCAGGGGGAGGGAAGGGGAGAGCGATCAGAGGAAGGCTAGGGGTGATGGGGTCACGGGGGTCACGGGACCCCCCCCCTCCCCAGGGCCACAGGCTGCTCCAGCCTCACTCACCTGGCGGCCTCCTCCCTCCGCTGTTCCTTCTCAGCCTCTTGCCACTGTTTGCGCCGTTTGGCCTCCTCCGCCCGCCGCTGTTGGCGCTCCAGCAGGCTAGCTCGCTTCTGGGCCATCTCATCCTCAGGCTTGTCTTCATCCTGGTCGGGGGGGGGGGGGCACACACCAGAGTCCAGCTGGCCTCCCTGTCCCCCCACCCACCACCACCCCAGGCCCCATCCATCCATCCATCCGGTCATCATGAGGCACCTGTTCCCTGCACAGCCCCGAGCGGGCAGGGTGGCTGTAAGTGGGCTGGGGAGGGAGGGCAGTGTGGCATGAGGGTCAGAGAGCAGACGGCTGGTTAGTGGCCAGGAGGTGACTGCAGGGGGTCCCGGTGGGGAGAGGGGGGTCACACACAGCTCAGGAGGGGAAGCTGGGAGGGACACGCTGGGGCGGCGTGGTGGTGAAGAGAGAGGATGACGTGTGTACCACGCCCCGCCACCAGTCCATGGGACCACCTGTCTACCCCTCCCTCACCTATCCATCCACCCACCCACCCCCTCACCCATCCACTCACCCACCCACCCACCTATCCACTCATCCACCCCCTCACCCATCCATCCATCCACCCATCTATCCACCCATCCATCCAGCCACCCATTTACCCACCCACCCCCTCACCCATCCATCCACCCACCCACCTCCTCACCCATCCATCCATCCACCCACCCACCTACCCATCCATCCATCCACCCATCCATTCACCCACCTCCTCACCCATCCTTCCATCCATCCACCCACCCATCCATCTATCCACCCATTCACCCACCCCCTCACCCATCCTTCCATCCACCTACCCATCCATCCACCCACCCATCCAACCATCCATCCACCCCCTCACCCATCCACCCACCTACCCATCCATCCATCCACCCACCCACCTACCCATCCATCCATCCACCCACCCACCCATCCATTCACCCACCTCCTCACCCATCCTTCCATCCATCCACCCACCCATCCATCTATCCACCCATTCACCCACCCCCTCACCCATCCATCCATCCACCTACCCATCCATCCACCCACCCATCCAACCATCCATCCACCCCCTCACCCATCCACCCCCTCACCCATCCACCATCCACCCACCCACCTACCCATCCACCCATCCACCCACCCACCCATCCATTCACCCACCTCCTCACCCATCCTTCCATCCATCCACCCACCCATCCATCTATCCACCCATTCACCCACCCCCTCACCCATCCATCCATCCACCTACCCATCCATCCACCCACCCATCCAACCATCCATCCACCCCCTCACCCATCCACCCCCTCACCCATCCACCCACCTACCCATCCATCCATCCACCCACCCACCCACCCATCCATTCACCCACCTCCTCACCCATCCTTCCATCCATCCACCCACCCATCCATCTATCCACCCATTCACCCACCCCCTCACCCATCCATCCATCCACCTACCCATCCATCCACCCACCCATCCATCCATCCACCCCCTCACCCATCCACCCACCTACCCATCCATCTATCCACCCACCCACCTACCCATCCATCCATCCATCCATCTACCCATCCATCCATCCATCTATTCACTCACCCCCCTGTTCTACCCACCTAGCTACCTCCTGCATCCAGCCACCCACCCAGACTTGCCAGCTCCCCGGATGCCTGCAACCCCTTTTACCTGAGGTCCTCTCCCCTCACCTTGTAGAAGAAGCCCAGCCCCACCCGGGGCTCTCCCTCCGACGACGCCTCCTCTTCTAAGGAGTCTTCCGCGTCCGGGGGACTCCCGTCGCCCCCTTCCTCAGCTGCAGGCTCGCCCAGGCTGCCCAGGGGGATTTCAATGAGGCCCGGCCGGACCGTGGCGGGCTCCTCAGGGGGCGACCCCTCGGCCAGGAGGATGGAGGAGCGTGTCTGCACGGGCACCTGACTGGGCGAGAACTTGCGCAGGTGGGGCAGGCTGTCAACGTCGTGGGGTGGCGTGAGCACCCTGGTCAGGGGTGTCAGCCGCAGCTCCGCCGGCCGTGTGTGCTTTGGACTCCGGGGTGCTGGGCTGGGGCCGGGGCCAGGGCTGCGCCGGGCAGCGGTCGGGGCCCGACGGGCAGGACTAGGGGATGCAGCTTTAGGCCCGGTGGTGGGGCCAGGGATGACCCAGGCAGCAGGGGGTGGGGCAGGTCCTGGGGGCTCGGGTGGCGCCAGAAGCCGCTGCTGCTGGTCCGTGAGCCGCTGCATGTCCCGTTGCAGGGAGCTCAGAGCGGCGCTCAGCTTGCTGACCGCACGGTTGTAGTCCCCCAGCCCCTCAGGGGGCACCGGGCCCAGCTCGGGCGAAAAGGTCACCGATTTGGGTCGCGAGGATGGCTCCCCCTGGCCCTCGCCCGCCGGCCGCTCCCCGCCGGGGGCTGTGCCCGGCTCTGGTTCCGCCTCTGCCTCTGCCTCCCCGGCAGCCTCACGAGGCTGCACCTGCAAGAATGCGCTCTTGCCAAGCCGCTGGCGGTGCTTGGCAAAGATGGCCTCGATGCGCCGCTTCTGAGCCTCGATGGCTCTCCGCTTCTCCTCGAGCCTGGCTCCCAGCTCGCTCATCTCAGAGCTCAGGGTCTCCGGGGCCGCCGTAGGGGGCGGAGGGGACCCCGATCCGGCCTCGGTTTCTGCCTTCACCAGCTGCTTCTTACGTTCCGCGAAGCTGGTCATCTTCACCTCGGAGTTGGTGGCGGCCGGGGACGAAGCTGCCGCCTTTGGGGACCCCTCAGATGGGACGGACGGTTTGGACACCTCCACAGCAGCCGGGCAGGGTGAAGGCTTGGAGGGTGTCTCGGGGTGGGGCACATAGATGGGGGGCTTGGTGAATCCATCGGACGGGTAGGAGGAAGACAGTGGGGCCTTGGTGGGCCCCTCCGGGGAGTGAAGGTAGAAGCTGCCGTCGGCGGCCCCATCTGGAAGCAGCCGCGGCTCGGCACTGTGGATGATCTGCAGGGCCTCCTCGATGGTGGGCAGGTCGCCAGGCTCCGGGGTGCTGGACTGGGCGGGGGTCCTGGCCGGTACAGCACGCGGGGGCCCCAGGCTGTCAGAGCTGACGGAACGCAGGAGAACGGGGTCTCCCATAACCACGTCGACATCGCTGTCCAGGCCAAAGGGGGTGCTGAATGACACGGCCTGGGAGAGGGGACGGCTGGGCAGCCGGAGGGTCAGGTCAGCCCCCGGGGATGGCTTTGGCCACCTCCCACCACCACCACCACCACCAACAGCCCCAGCCAGCAGCAGCACGGCACCCCTCCCTTCCCTAGGTGAGGAGGGTGGGAGGTGGCGTGTACTCACCTGAGCTGTCGGTTCCAGGCCTTGCCCAGGGCCTCCATGTGCGACATAGATGGGGATGACTTCAGGGAGCCTGGGGAATCAAGCAAAGGCGCCAGAGTGGTCACCTGCTGGGATCAATGGTAACCTCCCCCAGGTCACCCCCTGCGTCATTAACACTTGATGATGTGGCCCGTGCAGCTAGCCCTGGTGCTGGGTTGCCCAAGGGACAGACAGATGCCCAAGGGGGTGGGGGGGATGTCACGAGGGACAGACAGGTGCAGCCCCTCTCCCAACCCCCACTCCCCAGCCTCACCTGTGGACCCTCGGAGTGTAGACTGGGGACCTCCAGGCGACAGGAGCGGGTGGCGGAAGTTGAAGACGGGAGAACTGCCCGGAAACCTACTTCAGCCTCTGGCAGGGGAGGGTGTGGGGGGGGGGGGCAGAGGGACCACCCCCTCCCCCCTCCACCTCTCCCAGCCCAAGCGCCCACCTTGCAGGGGATACCCGTACCTGCCACCGCTGCTGTTCTGAGGTGGGGAGGCCTCAGTACCCCGGGGTGAGGCGGCTACGGCACCAAGAGGTGTGGGGGAGAGGGGAGGTTCAGGGGTCAGGCAGTTCCACCCGGACTGCCATCCTCCCCTCCCCTCCCCTCCCCTCCCCTCCCCTCCCCGACTATCCTCCCTCCTCGGGGAGGTGGGGGGGCTCACCGTGGCCATCAGGCAAGTCCTTAGCCTGCACAAAGTCAGGCTTGAGCACCTCAAAACACATAAACATCTCGGCCAACAGCACCACCAGGTTGACCTGGGCGGAGGTGAGGGCGGAGTGGAGTCAGGTGGCTGGACGGCCTCCCGCCCCCCACTCACCCACCAACCCACCAACCCATCTCACCCCCTGGGACACCCCAAATGAGCCTTTTTTTTTTTTTTTACCTTGAGAGGCGGAGGGACGTACAGCAAGTCCTCCAGGGCCAGAGGGCAGCCGCGAGGGAGGCGGGAGGCACAGAAATCTTGCACCAGTTGTAGGTTGTACAGGCTGTCGGCCACTGACATGGGGTCCTTGAGGCACACCTCTGGGAGGGGGAGCGGGGCAAAGGAGGCCTGGGTCCCTGGCGCTAGGCACAGGGGACAACAGGGACCCCTGGCTCCTGGCTCCTGGCAGCTACCTATGGAGCATGCTCTAACGGGGCCAGGAGAGGCGGTATGGCCCGTGATAAAATAGCTCCTTCAGCCTGCCCCCCAAAAGCTTGTCCTGACCCCCCCCCACACACACAACACAAATCTCCCTCGGGGATGCTTAAGTGCTCCCCCCCAACACACACACACAAAAAAACTTGCTTAACTCATCCATCTTGGTCTTTTCTCTCCCAGCTAGCATGTCGAGCCGGCAGAAATAAATCTGACACACTGTGATATTCTAGCCGCTGGGAGAGTAAGTTCCAGAAAGCACGTGGTTGACCGTGGTGGGGGCAGGGAGTTAGATGCTTACGCAAGGTCACGCACAAGTTTATCATGCGGGAAACTGTGCCTAACCCGGAGGCTACACTCCAGGGTTCTCTCCCTCAGTCACTCACCCTCAAGCCGCAGCAGCTGGGGACAGTAACAGTGGATGGTGGCGGCCAGCGCGGCACCGCTGGCCAGGTCCTGAAGGCTGGTGACGGTGGGGAAGCAGGGGGCACGGCGGGCCATGGCGCGGTCCTTGCGGTAGCGGATCTGCAGGGGCAGGAGATGGGTCCAGTTAGTAAGCGGGTCAGACGGGCTGAGCAGGTCGGATATCGTGCAGGCTGGGGCAAGGAGGAGGATGGGGAGAGGCCTGGGGTTTCCGTCATGAGGAGGAGAAGGAGGCAGGGCAGCCGAAGATGGAGGGATGGGACGGAATCCCAGAGCCAGAGTTGGGGAAGAGGCCAGCCTGGAGCAGGAGAGGGGACAGCAGCGAGAGGCAGTGTCTGTGAGCAGCCAGGCCAGCAGCGAGGACTGGGGGGTGGGGGGGACAAGGGGCTTCCTGGGGGCCCCCGGGGCTGGCTGGGCGTGGGGGGGGTACTTTACCATGGGGGGTCTGTTCCCCGACTCCTTCAAACAGAAGGCAATTGCGTGCTGGGGGAAGAGGAGCAGCCGTCAGCGGGACAGGAGGAGCGCTGGCCCGCTGGGTGCCCATGCCCAGCTCGGGGGGACGTGGGGGGTGGGGGGAGTCCTGAGCCTTGGCCGTGTAGCTAGCTAGCTCCTTAATCATGCTCTGGCCAGCCTTGGCGGGTGGGAACCCCAGCTCCTCCTCCTGGCCAACAGGGGCCCCACAGAAACAGCCTCCCATGCAAAAGACATTCGCCACCCCCAAAAGACCCAGGCCCCCAGCTGGATGGCAGGAAGTGGGTAGGCACAAGAAGGGGTTGTCCTCCCCAACCCCTAGCCAGGCCCCAGGGTGGGGGGAGAAGTGAGCAAAGGTGGGGGTCTCTTCCAGCCCTAAACCCTACCCACTTTTGTTTCTCTGCAAACCAACACAGAAATTTCTAGACTCGTGTGGAAATCCCACAGTCTGGTGAGATGAGACTCAATTTTTTTCTTAAGGAAGTATCCTACTGGGGCAGGAGTTTGGTGTCTCCTGGATTGAGGGTGGGCAACAGAGGTCTCCCCGACTTTGGCTCAAGGGGACAGCCTCTCGGATTGTCCCTTCTGGGACTCACTGGGTTGGGGGGGTGAAGATCTCCAGGATTGGGGCAGTGTCTGGGGAAGGGTCCCACCTCCTTTGCTCACAGCCCTGGGGGTGGAAAAGGGGAGGCAGGCAAGGGGGGGTGCAGACAGGCAGGTGGGTCACAGACAGGCGAGGGCAGTCAGCCACGGTAGGACAGGCAGGCGGGGCAGACAGGGAGCCCCACTTACAGGAACCAGCTTCCAATACCAGCGTGTGGGGCACTGAGGCCAGAAAGAAAAGAGAGAGAGAGAGAGAAAGAGGGGGAGCAGAGTCACCACCAGCCCGCCCCTCCACGTCAGGAATGGAGGTGAGGTCCAGCCAGCCTGGCCACCCAGCCCTCCCACGTCCAGCTGCCCTGCCCAGGCCTCACCGATGGTTGCGCCGGGGCTGCCCCGTCCGTGGGGGTCGCTGGGGTTGCACGCTGAGCTGCTTCCTGCTCGGTCTTCTCCTGCAGCCGGCGCACAGTCTGGGGGGAGCGGAGGTGGTGGGCAGGGAGAGTGGAGGGGTCAGCACTCGCTCAGGACAGCTGGACTGTCCATACCGGTCCCCCCCACCCTGTCCCAGGCACCCACCTACCGAGTCCACCCAGAAAAGCAGCTTGTGCTCAAGCTGGTCATGGCCAAGGGCCCGGGCAGCGGCTTGGTCCACTCAAAGGCGAAGGCCACCATGAGGGCGTCAATGACAGCCAGGTGGGCTCCCTGTGGGGGACACGCCCACTGCATGAGACCCCCGGCTCCCTGAGGGACACGCCCACTGCCTGAGACCCCGGCCCCCCGGGTCCCCCAACCCCAAAGTGGGGAGTGCAGGGGCTGCAGGGGCTGCAGGGGACGAGGCTGAGAGCAAGCACCAGGCCAGGGATCTGCAACAGGCTGCCCTATGAGTGGAGCTGGAGGGGAGGGGCCAGGCACGGTGGGTGGAGCCATGACTGGTGGGAGGAGCCAGTGCTGGTGGGAGGAGCTGGAGGGGAGGGGCCAGGCATGGTGGGAGGAGCTTGAGGGAGGAACCTAGCCTTGGGAGGAGCCAGTTGTGTGGGAGGGGCCAGTCCTGGTGGGAGGGACTTTGTGGGAGGGCTTGAGCTGGTGGGAGGAGCTTGTGGGGGGCAGGATCTGGGTGGGGTGGGGCTGAGCCTGGTGGGAGGGGTTTGGGTGCGACTGAGCCGAGTGGGAGGAGCTTGGGGTGGGGGCCAGTCCCAATGGGAGGAGCTCGGGGCGGGGCCAGTCCCAGTGGGAGGGCTTTGGGCGGGGCTGAGCCTGGTGGGAGGGGCCTGTGGGCGGGGCAGAGCATGGTGGGAGGAGCTTGGGGCAGGGCCAGTCTCAGTGGGAGGGGTTTGGGTGGGGCTGAGCCGAGTGGGAGGAGCTTGGGGTGGGGCCAGTCCCGGTGGGAGGGGTTTGAGGAGGCAGTCCCTGGAGGGCTGGGGTAGGCCAGTCCTGATGGGAGGAGCTTGGGGCGGGGCCAGTCCCGGTGGGAGGGGGTTTGGGCGGGGCTGAGCCTGGTGGGAGGGGCTTGGGGCGGGGCCAGTCCCGGTGGGAGGGGCTTGGGCGGGGCTTGAGCTGGGCGGGGCAGGGACCCCAGGGCAGAGGTGCAGCTACCATGAGGATGGGCTGGTGCCGCAGGTCGGCCTCCCGCACCGGGCGCTCGGGCAGCGCGGGCACCGTGCCCCTCCGTGCCAGCAGGGCCAGCAGCGCCGAGGGGCTGGGGGGCGTCTCGAGCTGCGGCAGCGCCTGGCGCCAGGCCCGGCAGTAGAGCTCGGCCGAGAGCAGCAGCCGCGTCACCGGGGGCTTGACGTGCTCCTGTGCGTACTGGTCGGTGTAGAAGGGTTCCCACAGCTCCGGGGGCACGTGCTCTGCAGGGTGAGGGAACGGGGACAGGGTCAGGGCTGCAGCGTGCACCCCACAGGGGTGAGGGAACGGGGACAGGGTCAGGGCTGCCGTGTGCACCCCACAGGGGTGAGGGAACGGGGACAGGGTCAGGGCTGGCACGTGCTCTGCAGGGGTGAGGGAACGGGGACAGGGTCAGGGCTGCCGCGTGCACCCCACAGGGGTGAGGGAAAGGGGGACAGGGGTCAGGGCTGCCGCGTGCACCCCACAGGGGTGAGGGAAAGGGGGACAGGGTCAGGGCTGCGTCCTGCACCCCACAGGGGTGAGGGGAACGAGCGACAGGGTCGGAGCCGCTGCCCCCCGCCCCGGGAAGGGGGTTAGGGGCGTCAGGTCTGGCAGGACGAGCCTCTGTGGGCACGCTGCGCCATCACCCGCTGGCAGGCGCGGGAGCGCACGGCACGGTGGGGGCACGGGAGCACACAGGAGTAGGTAAGGGGGAGATGAGAACGCTGGGGGGGGGCAGCCACAGCCCCCTCTCCCTGTACAGGCTGCCACCTGCTCCAAGCAGCAGTCAGGGGGCACCCAACACACACACGGGGTAAGACACACACAGGGTAAGACACACACACACGGGGTAAGACACACACACGGGGTCACACACACACACGGGGTCACACACACACGGGGTAACACACACATGGGGTCACACACACAGGGTAAGACACACACGGGGTAAGACACACACACGGGGTAAGACACACACAGGGTAAGACACACACGGGGTAAGACACACACGGGGTGGGACACACGGGGTAAGACACACACACAGGGTAACACACACGGGGTCACACACACACGAGGTCACACACACAGGGTCACACACACACGGGGTAAGACACACACACGGGGTAAGACACACAGGGTAAGACACACACACATGGGTTAACACACGGGGTAAGACACACACGGGGTAACACACACAGACACACACGAGGTAAGACACGCACGGGGTAAGACACACACACACGGTAAGACACACACGGGGTAATACACACACGGGGTAAGACACACACACGGGGTAACACACACACACACACACGGGGTAAGACACACACAGGGTAAGACACACACGCACGGGGTAACACACACACACATGGGGTAACACACACACGGGGTAAGACACACACACACATGGGGTAAGACACACACACGGGGTAACACACACGGGGTAACACACACGGGGTCACACACACATGGGGTAAGACACACAGACACACACACGGGGTAAGACACACACACACGGGGTTAACACACACACGGGGTAAGACACACACACGGGGTAAGACACACATGCACGGGGTAAGACACACACACACGGGGTAACACACACACGGGGTAACACACACACGCACGGGGTAAGACACGCATACATGGGGTAACACACACACGGGGTAACACACACACACGGTCACACACACAGGGTAAGACACACGGGGTCACACACACGGGGTAACACACACACAGACACACAGGGTAACACACACACGGTCACATACACACGGGGTAAGACACACACGGGGTCACACACACACGGGGTCACACACACACGGGGTAAGACACACACACGGGGTCACACACGGGGTAAGACACACAGGGTAACACATACACGGGGAAAGACACACACACGGGGTCACACACACACGGGGAAAGACACACACATGGGGTAACACAGGGTAACACACACAGACACACACACGAGCCAGGGAACCCGCCCGGGGCACACACAGACCCTCCACGCAGCAAGACTTCCAGGTTGTGCACGTGGGGGGATGGGGCAGCCCGGGGCCGCAGTGGGTGGTTGCCCCGGGGCTGAGGGGCCGAGGGAACCCTGGGACGACGAGAAGCTGCAGGCGTTTGGGGTTTAACCCGCATCCCATCCGGGGGCACCAGCACTGGGGTCTCACCCTGTGCGTGCGCACCCCGGCAGGCAGCAGGGAGACCCGGATGGAGTTCCAGGCTTGTCGCTTCCACCTGGACCCACCTCAGCATTGCAGCTACTTGGGGAGTGAACCAACGTGTGTGTGTGTGTCCTCTTCAAATAAATCATGATTTAAAATTAAAATCTGGGGACCCGGTGCGGTTGCCTGGTGGATACAATCTTCACCTTGTACATGCCAGCATCCCATATGGGCACTGGTTTGCATCCCGGTGGCTCCACTTTCCCATCCAGCTCCCTGCTTGGGGCCTGGGAAAGCAGCGGAGGACGGTCCAAAGCCTTGGGGACCCTGCACCCGCGTGGGAGACCCGGAAGAGGCTCCTGGCTTCGGATTGGCTCAGCTCCGACCATTGTGACCACATGGGGAGTGAACCATGGGATGGAAGATTTTTTTTTTTTTTTGGTCTTTTCTCTCTGTAAATCTGACTCTGCAAGAAAAGTCAGTCTTAAAGAAACAAAAGCCGGGACCGATGCTGTGGCACTTGAGATGCCAGCATGCCCTAGGGGCGCCGGTTCGTGTCCCGGCAGCTCCACTTCCCACCCAGCTCCCTGCCTGTGGCCTGGGAGAAGCAGCAGCTACATGGGAGACCCAGGGGAGTCTCCTGGCCCCTGCAACCATCTCAGAGCATCCATCAGAAAGTAGTAGCTCTCTCTGACTCTGCCTTCCAGGTTTAAAAAAAAAAAATTTTTTTTAACAACAACAACAAAAAATGTATTTTATGAAAAAAAAAAAAGCTATGTGCATTTCCAAATTCGGGGGAGGTACCCCAAATAAAACTCATTTTGTAATTCCAGTTTCCCAGGAGCTTTCTGAAGGGAACCTACCAAAGCAGACACTAAAAACTCACACTGGATCATCCTGCTCGGTGCCTCGCCCAGGCGGGCAGCCCTCCTCCGTGGGGACGAGGGTTGTGGCACAGCACGGTAAGCTGCCGCCTGCAGCCCCTCCCGCCATAAGTACCCACAGCGAGCCAGGAACCCCGTGTGGGGTCGCTTAGGTGGATGGCACAGACCCAAGCAATGGAGCCATCCCCTGCCGCTTCCCCGGGGGGGCCGCAAAAGAAATGGGACGGAGAGGGGGGGTGGACTTGAAATGGTGCCCATAGGGAAACGGCAGCACTGCAGGCGGAATCTTCACCCGCTATATACCACTGTCCCGGCTCCTGTGTTTGCCCCTCCAACCCCGAGATTTTTTTTTTTAGGTGCCGTCCAAGTGTTGGGGTCCCTGGCGCGCACGGGAGGGGGCCGGGGGTTAAATCCCTGCCCTCCTGCTTGCCCTGGTCCATCGGCGAAGCGAACCAGCCAACGCATGCTCACTCTGTCTCGCTTTCTCTGCTGAATTTTGCCTTTAGAATGCACGCAAATCTTTTTTTCTTAAACAAGTAAAGCAGATTGCAGCTCGTCTTTTATCCCACCCTTTGCACCCCACTCCCACCCCTCGCTCAGCCTCCTCCTCCCCGAACCCGGCGGTGGCCCCATCTCCATCCACCCAGCACCTTCCCCGGCCCGGAACCTTACTCCCCCAGGCACCTGTGTGTTAACCTGTCCCCACTCCCTGAACCGCACCTGAACCTCCTCACCCCAAGCCCCGACAGCTGGCGCTGGGCTATTTCCACCTGTCCTCCATCTTCCCAGCCCCAGCTCCCCGACTGGTCCTCCCTCCCTGCTCGCATCTGCCAATTCCAACGAGTCCGTTCCAGATGTTTCCTGTGGCGCTGTGGGTCATGCAGCCAGCAACCTGCCTGGGAATCAGGGCCCAAAATGTGTCCTGTCGCTGCCCCGGGGGGCTGGGAGGTTGCTTGGGGAGCCAGGGGCATCTACAGCGCGGTGTACATGGGACCATTTTCCATGTGGCAAGGGAGACTGGCGGAGGCCCAGGATGCTGCGACCCGTATCGGGGCGCCAGTTCGAATCCCGGCAAGTCTGCTCCTTACTGATACCACCTGGGAAGGTGGCAGGGGGATGGACCAAGTACTGAGGGCCCTACCACTGCTGCGGGAGAGCCGGATGGAGCTCCTGGCTCCTGGCTCCAGGCTGTTGTGGCCAACAGCAGGTGGAAGACTTCTCAACTCCACTCTTTTAAAATCAATACATCTTAAAAAAAAACAAAACAAAAAAAAGAGCTATCACTCTGCCTACCAAAATATTTTAAAAATATTTTTATTGGAAAATCAGACATATAGAGAGGAGGAGAGACAGAGAGGAAGATCTTCCGTCTGATAATTCACTCCCCACGTGGCCTTAAAGGCAGGAACTGAGCCAATCCGAAGCCAGGAGCCAGGAGCCTCTCCCGGGTTTCCCACACGGGTGCAGGGTCCCAAGGCTTTGGGCCGTCCTTCACTGCTTTCCCAGGCAACAGGAAGGGAGCTGGATGGGAAGCGGGGCTGCCGGGATCAGAACCAGCAAACTTCTGATCTAGTTCCTTGTGGCCTGGGAAAGTAGCGGAGGGTGACCCACAGCATTGGGCCCCTGTACCTGCATGGGAGACCTGGAAGAGGCTCCTGGCTCCTGGCTTCAGACTGTCCCAACTCTGGCCATTGCAGCCATTGGAGGAGTAAACCTGCAGATGGAAGCATTTCTCTCCGTCTCTCTCTTTTCTCTGTAAATTTTGACTTTCAAGTCAAATAAGCAAATATATATATATATATATATTTTAAATCTCTTTTTGGATAGTAACAAGCATACATGAATTGAGCAACACAGCTTATCCAAACCAATATGCATCCAGGCCATCATTCCAAGGTGTGTCGAATGAAAGATCTTTGAAATACTCTGTTTGGAATCAAGCTTTCCGAAGCAAGGAAACATCCAAAGGTCATGGGAAATACGGAGTGGAGAGACAAGGTTTTAGCGGCTGGTGTTGTGGCACAGCGGATGAAGCCCCTACCTGCAACCCCACATCAGAGCACCTGTGTCAAGTCCCAGCTGCCGTGCTTTCCACCCTCTCCTTGCTGGGGAAACACATCGGGGGGAAAGCAGCAGAGCACGGCCCAACCGGACGCCTGCACTGATGGGAGACCTGGGAGATGCTGCAGGCTCCTGGCTTTTGGCCTAGCCTGGTCCCTGGCCATCGCATCCGTCTGGGGGAGTGAACCAGTGGGTGCAAGACCTTTCTCTCTATACGTCTGACTTTCCAATAAAAACACAATAAAACGAATCCTCAATTAAGCCCATCTTAAAGGAGAAGTTGGCTTGGGGTATACCGCAGTATTTCTGCTGTTTTTTTTTTTTTTTCCACGCACATCTTTATCCAGCCTCTGCATGCGTTTCAAATTGTCTTTGCCCCCAAAACAAACTCAGCTACTCATGCCACATTTTTTTCCAGGCACATCTCCGGGGGGGCACGTGTGCGTGGCTGAGCGGCTACTCTGGCAGGCGGCACAGCCCTACCCACTTAACCATCTGCTTACTCACCACACCCTGCCATCACCTGAACCCATTGCAGAGGGAAGAAAAAAATAAAATAAAATAAAAACAGGACAACAGGACTCCCAGACCCCCCGTGGCTAGCAAACTCTCACATGCCAAGAAGTCCAACTTCCCCCAAACAAGCCTTTATCTTTGATGATAACCCCACCTTATCTCCCAGCGAGCCCACGGCCCCTTCCCACGTGCGCCCGGCTGGGGGGGCCTCCCCTGCTGGGCGGCAGAGGGGGCAGGTCAGATCTTGTCCCCTTTGGAGGCTCGTAAGAGCCCTGACACACACGCACACACACACACGCACGCATGCACACACGCACACGCCACTCCTTCCCTCCACCCCTCCGACCTGCACACGCCGGGGTCTCCTTCCCCCTTGCCCACTCCCACGGCCGCAGCCCAGCCACCCAGCTGGCATCTCTCCTGGCCCAGGCCAGACTGCCACCTCCTACTCCAGCAGCTCCAGCACTCTAAGCTGGCATGATCCGGTTTCGTGCCCATCCCCCGGCGCACACATGCACACACTGGAAATTCTCCTACCCTCTCCTGGCACCTGTGGTGGTGATGGGGTGGCGGGGCTCTGCTCGTCCCTCCCCAGCCCTGCTTTAAGGCAGGCAGGTTGCAAGGGAAGGTGGTGGGGGGGCACCAAGAGGCACACCACACTGAACTCGACCCTTGGCATGGGCACCATGGGGGCCATGGGGACCAGCAGCCGTTGGAGGAGGCTTCACATTCCTTTCTGTAGAATGGGATGGAAACTGGATGCCCACCCCATCTCAATCACCCTAGGGTTCACCCAGCAGGTGCCCTGAGCCTGCCAGCTGTGCGGTGAAGCCTCCTGTTACCCCCCCCTTACAACCTTGCAAAAGACGGCGCTGGCGGCGGAGGGGGTAGGTGGGGTCCAGGGCCGCTGCATGGCCTTGGTACCCAGCGGGGTGACCCACCAAGTCTCCCAGACACTTGGTCAATTGGCACCTCAATTCTGGAAGCTCAGAGAATGAGAGCAGCAAACACAAGGCCGCAACCGCTCCACCACCAGCTGCAACGGCGAGGGGCAGGGGGAGGCAGCCCCTGGCCCCCCAGCCCACCCCCTATTGCCCTCAGCACACACGGTAGGGCGTGCATGGCTCGGGGGGGGGGGGGCATACCAGAGAGAGAGAGAGAGAGAGAGAGAGAGAGAGAGAGAGAGAGAGAGAGAGAGATAAGAGAGAGCACAGGCTAGGCTAGGGCGGAACCAGCAGCCGGACGTTCGGAACAGGTTGACCAGGCAGGCCACCCGGAAGGGGGATGGGCCATGCCCAGCCCGTGCCAAGAGGGCAGGGCCAGGCGGAGAGCGGGGCGTCCCCGGGGCTCCCCGGAAGGCCCAGACTTTAATGAACCTGTCTGTCCCCCACAAGACCAGGCCCACCCCTAGCTTCCCGACTCTGGGCTCCGGGGCGCAGGAAGCCAGAACCCGCGTGGCCTCCGATCCTGGGGACCCCCCAGCACCCCACGACGCCGCGGCAGCCCTGGGGATGGGGGCGCACCCCGGAGCCCCCCCAGCCCAGGCGCACGCCTCGTCTCGCCGCCTCCTCCTCCTCGGCCGATGGGAGTAATCAAACCCCAGCTGCCGGCCGCACTGGCGGTGGCCGAGGGAAGGATGAGGGGGCTCCCGGGCAGCCGGGCGCCGCCCGCCCGCAGCGCCGCAGGGCCGACGCGGGCTGCTGTGCGTGTCGGGGCCTCCGGCTGCAGCGCCGGGCTGGGGTGCTGGGGGGGCGCAGGGTGTGCAAAAAAAAAAAAAAAAAGAAAGAAAAAAAATTGGGAGGGGGGGATGGAAGGTGAGCTGAGAGCTAAGGCCCAGCTCCGGGGATGCGGGGGGCACGGGGTGTCCCCCTCTCCGGGCCGTAGACTCCGCCCCGCCTCACCTAGAGACCCCAATTCCCGCAGCTGCCGGGGCCCAGCCGGGCCGCCTGCCCCACCCCCTCCAGCGCCGTTCCCGACCAAAGTCCACGTCCTGGGCCCAGCAGGAAGCCCGGAGGCCCGGCTGCGGCGGGGCCCGAGGCCCGGCGACCCCCGGAGGCCGGCCCTATTGTTCCCACGGCCCCGCGCGCCCCGCCTCCCCACACCCCGCACCTGCCGCGCCCGCGCCCGGCGCCACCTCCCACCCCAGGCACCCCCTCCACACACACACACACACACACACAACCCCGGTACCTGCACCCCCGAACGCGGCCCGCAGCACCCACGCCAGGCTCGCCGCCGCCTTGGCTCGCGAGAAATCGTACTGATCCAACGACTTGATCTCGGGTACCAGGAAGGTCCTTCTGAGCGGCCCGGGCCCGGGGGGCGCAGCCTCCACCATGGCGGCGCCGGAGGGGGCTGCGGGTACCGGTGCTCCCCCGTGACCCGGGCTGGGCTGGAGCCGGTGCTCCCCCGAGCTGGCTAGCCGGGGTTGCTGAGCCAGGTGCGGCTAACGCGGGCGACGCTGCGTCGGTTCCGCCCCTGGGGCAGGCGGAGCCCAGGTGCGCCCCGCCTCCTGCGCGCGCGGATGCCGACCCCGGGGCTTGGATGCCCTGGCCTGGCCTGGCCTGGTCTGGCCTGGCTTGGCCTGGCCTGGCCTGGCCTGACGAGCCACCTCAGTGCAAAAAAAAATAAATAAATAAAACAACCGCGTGGACTGCCTTGGACAGGGCTGGCCAGGGGCTTGCGGGGCTGGCGAGTGGGTGGGGGTATGCGCAGGAGCGCGCGCGTGCGTGTGCATGTGTGTGTGTGTGTGTGGTGTGTGCGTGCGTGCGCGCCTGGGGCGCCCCTCTCTCCCTGCACCTGCAGGTGGAGGGGAAATGTGCGCGTGGATGCACCTGTTGGTGTGGCCGCAGGGAGTCTGCAGCTTTGGCACCTCTGTGGACTGCCTCCCTGATTCGGGCGGTGTCCCCCCCTTTGGACGCCAGATTCCAACATCCATCAAGGGGACCTCTGTATCCATTGATTTTTTTTTTTTTTTTTGAAATTTCACGCTCCACAAAGTTTTGGTCTCCTCTGGACTCGAATGTGACAAAGCGTGCGTGTGTGTTCTGGTGTTTCGATGATGAATTTATTTTCCTGTAGTGGAAACACAGCAACACACAGAGAGAACTCCACGTGCCAGGTCACTCACCGCCCCATGCCCCAGATACTCCCAACATTCAGGGTTGCACCAAGCAAAAAATCAGGCGCTCAGAACTCCAGCTCTGCCAAGTGGGGGGCAGGGGCCTCAGTCCGTGAGCCCTGGACGCTGCCCCGATGGCGCGCATAAGCGGGAGGCTGGAATGGCTGGAGTGGTAGCGAGAGTCAGGACTTGAACCCGTGCCCTGTGACACGGGAAGCAAGCGTTGCCAGTGGCATCTTTTTTTTTTATTATTTATTCATTTTTATTAAAAACGGATTTATGGAGAGGAAAGAGAGAAATGTTTCATGTGCTAGTTCACTCCCCAGATGGCTGCAAGAGCTGGAGCTGAGCTGATCCGAAGCCAGGAGCCAGGAGCCTCTTCCGGGTCTCCCACGCAGGTGCAGGGTCCCAAGGCTTTGGGCCGTCCTCCACTGCTTTCCCAGGCCACAGGCAGGGAGCTGGATGGGAAGTGGAGCCGCCGGGATTAGAACCGGTGACCCTATGGGATCCTTGCAAGGCAAGGATTCTAGCCACTAGGCTACTGTGCCAGGCCCATGCAATGTGTGTTGTGTGTGCTGTAACCGTGTGGGTGGACAGCAGCGCCCATGTGGTGTGTGTGCAAGGGCATGTCCCTGGGGTGTAGGAGGCTGTGATTGAAGCCTTCTTGTGTATTTGTGGGCGGAGGTGTGGTTTGTGGCTGTTACTGGATCTGTGTACAAATGATACGGTGTGTGTGTTGGGGGGAGCGTGTGTTTGTGGTGTCGGCGGTGTTTGGGGAGGGAGGGGGTTGACGGTGCGTGGGTGAGCCTGTGCGGGGGGGGTGAACCAGTGTGAAGCCAGGAGCCAGGAGCTTCTTTCTGGGTCTCCCACGTGGGTGCAGGGTCCCAAGGCTTTGGGCCGTCCTCCACTGCTTTCCCAGGCCACAGGCAGGGAGCTGGATGGGAAGTGGGGCAGCCGGGATTAGAACTGGCGAACACATAGGAAAAGCTCCTGGCCACAGCCTGGCCCAGCCCCAGCCATTATGGCTAGGTGGGGCGTGAACCTAACAGGTGGAAAATCTCTGCCTTCCCCAATAAGTAAATCATTAAAAAACAAATAAATAAAAAGGAAGAAAATGCAGAAAGATCTGGATGAGACCGGACCGCTTCTTGGCGCTATTTGCACGTGTGCCCTCAGGGCTCCCATGATGCCATGGGGCACGCATGTGCTCACGGTTGCGTGTGGGCAGGCATGACTCTGCGCGTGAGCTCAGGCGAGGTGGGACGCATGAGGGCCCACGTGTGTGTGTGTGTGCAGGAGGGCGGGTGTGGCAAGCGTGCGTGAGGAGCGGCCTAACACACTGAGCCTCTGCCTGCAGCGGCTGCAATCGCGTGGCCGCCGGTTCGAGTCCCGGCTGCTCCACTTCCCATCCAGCTCCCTTGCTAAATGCGACCTGGGGAAGAAGTTATGGAGATTATGCCCAAGGGTCTGGGGGCTCCTCTCACCTACATGGGAGACCCAGGTGAAGCTCCTGACGCCTGGCTCCAGCCTGGCCCAGCTCTGGCTCTTGTGGAGTGGCAAAATGTCTCTCTCTCTCTCTCCCATCTTCTCAAATACATAAAACACAAATCTGAGAAATGGAAAAACACCACCACAGGCCTGGGTTCTCTATTGAAACACCAGGGTCCCCCCCGGGGGCACAGGCTAGGTACGGGCCTCCCGGGCCAAGGCGTGTGACTGGGCAGGGGGCAGGCGTGCCCAAAGGGAGGGGAGAGCCGGGCAGACATGCGGCCTCCTGTCCGGATGCGCCCGTGCACGAGTGGGCGTGGGCGCGCGGAGCGCACGTGTGCAGGTGGATGACGCGCGCCGTCTCGTGCCCTGCTCCTTCCCTCCCCCACCCCCTGAGGGACCCAAGCAGGGTGCTGGCCAGATGCCCCCCTTGGGGTCCCCTTGGCTCCGTGGGCAGCACTGAGGGGGCACCTGGGCTCCGGGAGATCCGGTGATTCTGTTTGCCCAGGGGGAGAGCTCCACCTCCACGGACGCACAGGGACATCGGTGCGCGGGAGGACACGGGTTCGCACCCCCGACTCGGACCCCACCACCACCACCACCACCACCACCACCACCACCACCACCACCACCACCACCACCGGCCCTGCCCTTGGAAAGGGACCCGCCTTGGAAAGTGGGACTTGCTTCCCTCCGCCGGCTCGCCCAGGCGCCAGAGGCCTCCCTGGGCCCAGCCCCCACACCGGGCCAACTGGAACGCCTGGCTGGGTTGGACCGGCCCACCCACGCCCAGGCCTTGCAGCAGCAGCAGCAGCAGCCGGCCCTGCAGCCTCCTCAGCCGCGCTGACGCCCCTGTGTCAGGAGCAGCGCGTCCGGCTGCACCCCGCTGCCCTGCTGCACCCCGCTGCGCGCCCCCCTGTCTCCCAAGGCCACCCCCTTTTCTATGAGGGCCCTCCCAGTCACCGCACAGGTCCTGGCTATGCAACGGGCGGGCGGTGGCGATGACAGAGGCTTTGGGAGGTTTGGGGGAACAGCTGAACCCCACAAAACCTCCGGCCTGGGCATGCAACTCTTGGCTCCTCCTAACAGGTCACAGTCGGGGGCCTCGTGCCCCGTGCCCCGTGCCCGTTGCCCAAGCACCCAACCCGCCAACATGAGTGAGACCCATTTCACAGATGGGAAAAATCAAGGCTTAGAAGGGACTCAAGTAACTTCCCCTTGGCTTCTGAACCCTCTCCTTCTTCTGCCTCTCAAGCTGGGAAATGGGTTTGTGAACTTTCCGCCACCGGAGAGGGATGGGGTTGCCCGTCTAGACCCGCAGCCCATGAATAAAGAATGAAGGCAGCTGGATGGCCCTCTACCTCCAGGCTCGGCCTGCAGAAAGGCAGGCACACAAAAAGAAGACTCCAGGGGCCCAACGCAGTAGCCTAGTGGCTAAATGCTCTCCTTGTGATCTGCACTGGGAACCCATATGGGCGCCAGTTCATGTCCCAGCTGCTCCGCTTCCCTTCCAGCTCTGTGCTTGTGGCCTGGGAGAGCAATACAGGACAGGCCAAGGCCTCGGGACCCTGCACCTGCATGGGAGACCCAGAAGAAGCTCCTGGCTCCTGGCTTTGGACCAGCCCAGCTCTGGCTGTTGCCACATGGGGAGCGGACCAGCAGATTTCTCTCCCTCTCTCTGTAATCTGCCTTTCAAATAAATAAAATCATTTTTTAAAACAAATCTCTTTAAGATTTATTTATTTTCAAAGTCAGATACACAGAGAAGAGAGACAGAGAGGAAGATCTTCCGGCCGATGATTCACTCCCCAAGTGAGCGCAATGGCTGGTGCTGTGCCGATCCCGAAGCCAGGAGCCAGGAGCCTCTTCCGGGTCTCCCACGTGGGTGCAGGGGTCCCAAGGCTTTGGGCCGTCCTCCACTGCTTTCCCAGGCCACAGGCAGGGAGCTGGAAGGGAAGCGGAGCAGCTGGGACATGAACCAGTGCCCCTATGGGATCCCGGGTGCATGCATGGTGAGGACTTTATCCGCTAGGCTACTGCCCAGCCAACATATTCTATGAGAAAACTGCCCGAATTTCACAATCAACATTTTTTCGGGCGCCCAAACCAACTTCTCCTGGAATTCCATTTTCCATGCGCAATTCCCTGGAATCTATGAGTTTGGGGATGGTACTGAGGGTCCCAGGGTCTCTGACAGGATCCCGTAGGCACAGCACAAAGCAGAGCCGCCCCCCACAGACGCCGGCGGCCCAAGGGCGTGGCTGTGTGGGCAGAGAGTACATGGGCGCTCAGAACGGGCGGCTGCAGGGCAGGAAAAGCAGGGAGGAGGCCTGGGAGAGGCCTGGGTGGCCTTTCACAAGGGTGCAGGTGCTAGAGATGGGGACAGGAGATGAGCGGTTGGGCTGGGTGGGGAGGAGGCTGCACCTCATTCTGGCTGGGTGGAGTTTCTTGTGTTAAACAACTTTTTATGGGAAAGGCAGATTTACAGAGAGAAAGACAGGAAAATTTTCCATCCACTTGTTCACTCCCCAAGTGGCCGCAACAGCCAGAGGTGAGCTGATCCGAAGCCAGGAGCCAGGAGTTGCTTCCTCTGGGTCTCCCACGCAGGTGCAGGGTCCTCAAGGACTTGGGCCGTCCTCCACTGCTTTCCCAGGCCACAGGCAGGGGAGCTGGATGGGAAGTGGAGCAGCCGGGACTTGAACCAGTACCCATATGGGATCCCCGGGAAT